GGAGATATTTAAGAGTAGGTTAGATAAATGTCTATCAGGGATGGTCTAGAAAGTATTGGTCCTGCCATGCGGGCAGGGGACTGGACTCGATGACCTCTCGAGGTCCCTTCCAGTCCTAGAATCTATGAATCTATGAAATTATTTGATAGATTGTGAGGCCAGATGGGCCCATTAGGGTCATCCGGTCTGACCTCCCGCAAACCACGGGCCAGAGAGTTTCACTCAGTGATTCCTACAGCAAGCCAACAATGCTTTCAGAAGAACATCCGCCTCCACGCGATGGAGAACCCTGGCCCTTGGCAGCGGTTCCAGTGGTTAATCACCTTTCCAGTAAGACTAGTTCCACTTCCCAGCCACTGGGTCTTGGTCTGCCTTTGGCTGCTCGATTAAAGGCAGCTGCAGGGTGTGGGGTTGGCTCTGTCTCTACCAACCCAACTCCAGTTGGCTGAACCAAGGTGCCACTCTCCTTTTGGTTCCTCGTAGTGTCGGGGGAACATGTGCTTCCCGGGTCAGGTCTGTGCTGCTGCAACATGCCCATTGAACACACCGGTGGGTCAGACTCACCCTTGTCTCTCCGTGGAGTTACACCAGGGCTGGATTTAGCCCGGTGAGTCTGGCTTCCAGGCTCAGCAGACTTGCTCAGTGCACCTGTACGGGATAGGGAGAAAGGGAGCGAACGGGGGCTCTGCAGCTGGAACAAAGGCAGCACAGCGCTTATCACCATGGCTTGGGAGAGGCTGTCCCAGCAGAGCTGCTGCCTAAGGACTGTAAGGTCACAGTTCAAGTCCCAGCTGCACGGGCAGTGAATCTGGCCGGCGGCCGGGGCAGGGATCCCACTCAACTCGTTGTTGAATCTACAGTAGAATCTCGCCAGGGTCAACAAGGAAACCCAGACTCATAAACTGTGGCTCCAACCTGCCTTGGTACTTAGATCTCAGGGTGCATCTCAGCCCTTTCTTATTGACACAGAGATCAGCCTGGATGCTTGGCTCCAAATCTGAACTTCCCCAGGGCTGGGCAGGGGTGGTGGTGTGGGCCCAGTCGCTAATGCAACACAGGCCCATACAGAAGGAGAAATTCAATAAACCACTGAAATATTGGACCCATCCCCCTAGACTCAGAGACACGTCCCCATCAAAGGAGCCGGCACAGTTTGCACAGTCCATTTTGAATGGCTGTGAGTCCCACCTCGGGGCTCAGGCTTGCAAACAGCCTTGTTATCTGCTCTCTGGGCCCTTCCATTATTTGTTTAACTAATATGCTGGCTTGCTTCATACCTTGGATTTCATAATCGGTTGGCTTTTCCAATAGCTAAATGGGAAACAACCATTGCAGCACAAAGCCCCTATTATAGGGTCCCCCCCCCTTTGGATTTTTCTTCTTCATGCTACATTTTGTCCTTCCTTTTGTCTGATAGTTGAACTCGGTGGTAAGTTTTAAACAACTTACTACATGGAATTCAATCCTGTCAGGTTTTTTATATTCCCATCGACCCTGCGAGCTCTCGAGGTTTTCCAGAGAGTAATCTGAACTGTTGCATGCCCTGAAGAGCCGCACGCTCTGAACGCAGGCTCAGGGGCCAGGACTCCTGGGTTCTATTGCTAGTGTCGCTGCTCACTCTCTCTGACTTTGGGCCTCTCACTTAATTCCTCTGAGACTTGGTTTCTCCACTTATAGAATGGGATAATGATATTTCACCAGAGAGTTGGGAGGGTTAGTTAGTTATCTAATGTTGGAAAAGTGCTGTAAAGTGTTGCATTATTATTCCAGATAACAATAAGGTGCAAAACATTCATGCTGGTGCACTAATTTCATGGCTTTTAGCCTGTAACTGACTGGGTCCACTAGGGGGCGCCATGATCGCTGGCACTTGAACAGGTCCAATTCCATCCCGTAGAGCAGTGGTTTTCAAACTTTTTACCTGGGGACCCAGTTGAAGAAAATTGTTGATGCCTGTGACCCAAAGGAGCTGGGGATGAGGGGTTTGGGGTGTGGGAGGGGCTCAGGGCTGGGGCAGAGGGTTGGGGTGTGGGGGGTGAGGGATTTGGGGTCGGGCCGGGGGTGA